CTGAATAAGCACCTTCACAGTGGGCTAAGAGACACCTCATTGGTGGTGGTGCTCTTAGGCAGAGCAGATGGACAGTCTTTTTTCACCCTGGCTTTTTTGAGATGGAGTTTTGCTCTTGTTACCCAGGCTGGAGTGCAATGGCACGATCTCGGCTCACGACAACCTCCGCCTCCTGGGTTCAGGCAATTCTCCTGCCTCAGCCTCCTGAGTAGCTGGGATTACAGGCACGTGCCACCGTGCCCAGCTAATTTTTTGTATTTTTAGTAGAGACGGGGTTTCACCATGTTGACCAGGATGGTCTCGATCTCTTGATCTCGTGATCGAGCCACCGTGCCTGGCCCTCACCCTGGCTTTAATGGGCAGAGCTGTCTTGTCTCTGGGTTACATACAATTCTAATGCTGGACTCTTCTTCCTGGGTCATGCTGAGACACTAGTCTCAAACAGTATTTATCGAGGCTCAGGGCATTAAACGTTCTGTGGCAGATGCAGTAATTATTCTGGGTGTGGATAATGTAAGAAAAGTTACAGCAGAGCTCCATTCTAAGGCATTTGGGTCTCAGTTTTTCTCAGAGTGAATATGCCTTGTAGCTTGGATCCTATGGCAGGAGTGCAATAGGACATGAACATGCTCACCTGTTTTATAAAACTGGTTGCTGGCTGGGCACGGTGTCTCACTTCTGTAATCCAAACACTTTGGGAGGCTGAGGCAGGCAGATCACTTGAGATCAGGAGTTAGGCTAGCCTGGCCAACATAGTGAAACACCATCTCTACTAAAAAATATAAAAATTAGCCAGGCATGGTAGTAGGACACGATGATCCCAGCTATTTGGGAGGCTGAGGCAGAAGAATTACTTGAACCCGGGAGGCAGAGATTGCAGTGAGCCAAGGTTGTGTGCCATTGCACTCCAGCCTGGATGACAAGAGCAAAACTTTAAAAAAAAAAAAAAAAAAAAAAAAAAACCTGGTTGCTGCGTGCTGAGGCAGCTGGTCAAATTAGCTTTCAGAAAGTTAAGGGTTCTGAATGTCTAGAGCAGGTGTCACCAAACTGCGCCCCCCCTGAGGCCATTTATCCGGCCCCCCGACTCATTTCAGGAAGGGGCACCTCTTTCATTGGTGGTCAGTGAGAGGAGCACAGTATGTGGCGGCCCTCCAACAGTCTGAGGGACAGTGAACTGGCCCCCTGTGTAAAAAGTTCGGGGACACCTGGTCTAGAGTAACACACTGAAGTATCCGAGCGGCTTTACTGTGAATCACTGTACACTCAGGAACCAGACTGAGTTGAAATCCTGTCTTGCCACCTATTGACAGCATGATCTTAAGGATTTTAACCTCTGCCAGTTTCTCAGCTGAATGTGAGTTTACTAATAGTGCACACCCCCCAGGGTGGTTGGTTAGGAATAAATAGGTGAAAAACACTAAGAAAGGTGCTTGGCACCGGGCATGGTGGCTCAAGCCTGTAATCCCAGCACTTTGGGAGGCCGAGGCGGGTGGATCACGAGGTCGAGAGATCAAGACCATCCTGGTCAACATGGTGAAACCCCGTCTCTACTAAAAATACAAAAAATTAGCCTGGCGTGGTGGTGCATGCCTGTAATCCCAGCTACAGTGGAGGATGAGGCAGGTGAATTGCTTGAACCCAGGAGGCAGAGGTTGCGGTGAGCCGAGATCGCACCATTGCACTCCAGCCTGGGTAACAAGAGCGAAACTCCGTCTCCAAAAAAAAAAAAAAGTGCTTGGTACACTTGTAGCTAATGTATGAGCACCTGTTTTTCTCTGGGCTCAGATACAGAAGGTGGTCATGGCACTAGGAGACTACATGGGTGCCTCCTGTCACGCCTGTATTGGGGGCACCAATGTTCGTGCTGAGGTGCAGAAACTGCAGATGGAAGCTCCCCATATCATCGTGGGAACCCCTGGACGTGTGTTCGATATGCTTAACCGGAGATACCTGTGTAAGTAATCCCGTTCAACAATCCCTAGGTCACTTCCTCCTGTGCATGCTTTCCCAGTCTCTCAGCTTTAAGCCAAAGTCATTCCCGAGGATGCTCATTTCCCTTAGGGGAAGAGTTGCTCTGTGATGAGGCCCATGCGTGTCATCTGAGCCTGGCTTCCCTGGCAGCACAGCCCAGGCAGTGTTCTACTTCCCAGGGCTGTCGTCTGGCCAGGCAGGAAAGTCCTTGGCAAAGGATCAGTCTTTGTATTCTGAGAGCAGACTACTTGGTCCCCTCTGTTAACAGGGAAGTTGGGTATATATACCACACATTTACCTAATTATATGCTATATATTGGCTTTTTTTAATTTTCTAGCTCCCAAATACATCAAAATGTTTGTACTGGACGAAGCTGATGAAATGTTGAGCCGTGGATTCAAGGACCAGATCTATGACATATTCCAAAAGCTCAACAGCAACACCCAGGTGAGGGCAGTCTTCCTTGAATAGCTTACAATTTTTTTTTTTTTAAAGACAGAGTTTGGCTCTCGTTGGCCAAGCTGGAGTGTAGTGGTTGCTCTGCCTCCCTGGTTGAAGCAATTCTCCTGCCTTGCAGCTTCTCAAGTAGCTGGGATTACAGGCATGCACCACCAAGCCCAGCTGAGTTTTTGTATTTTTAGTAGAGAGGGTTTCACCATGTTGGTCAGGCTGATCTCGGACTCCTGACCGCCCAGGTATTTGCCCACCTTGCCCTCCTAAAGTGCTAGGATTACAGGCATGAGCCACCACACCCAGCAATGATTCTCTTCTAGAAGAAAAATATCAAGTCCTAGAATAACCACATTTTGGATTCTTGGAGTATTTTTTTGCCCTCACTCCAGTGTTGACTGGGGAAGGGAGCAGGCATCAGAAAGGATCCACCACTCTAAGACTGGCCTTTTTCTCCATTAGGTAGTTCTGCTGTCAGCTACAATGCCTTCTGATGTGCTTGAGGTGACCAAGAAGTTCATGAGGGACCCCATTCGGATTCTTGTCAAGAAGGAAGAGCTGACCTTGGAGGGTATCCGCCAATTCTACATCAATGTGGAACGAGAGGTGGGGCCCAGTGCAGCAGGCGGGCCTGGTAGTGAGTTGTTGGGTATAGCCCCTGACTGATTTTTGTCCCCCCACCTCCAGGAATGGAAGCTGGACACACTGTGTGACCTGTATGAAACCCTGACCATCACCCAGGCAGTCATCTTTATCAACACCCGAAGGAAGGTGGACTGGCTCACTGAGAAGATGCATGCTCGAGATTTCACTGTCTCTGCCATGGTGTGTTTGCTCACTGCCAGCCTTTTGTGGGTCTGCCTGTCAGAAGTGTCCTCCTTCAAGTCAGTGTTCCCAAAACCCATGTACCTGCCTGGCCTGGTACATGTTTGTTTTCTCTTCTAGCATGGAGATATGGACCAAAAGGAACGAGATGTGATCATGAGGGAGTTTCGATCTGGCTCTAGCAGAGTTTTGATTACCACAGACCTGCTGGTGAGTAGAGGGAATTTACTGGCAAGGCAGAAGGGAGGACCCAAGGTGATTCCCTCTCCAAGGGGACATCCAGTGCCCCTCTCAGGAAAGTAGCAACTTGGAATAGAATCTGGCATGCCTAAGGTCTTTGGGGGAACAGGGATGCTTATTTCCTCTGCCTTCCTTGGCTGCCTACATGGATACCCATGTATAATCCCTTCGGGATAGATTCTCATGCACATGCTGAAGAGTTGTCTTTCTTGATGTAGGCCAGAGGCATCGACGTGCAACAGGTTTCTTTAGTCATCAACTATGACCTTCCCACCAACAGGGAAAACTATATCCACAGGTAAGTGTACATCTGGAACGCTGCCCCACCCGCCTCATGCCTGGCCTTCACTGGGCTAAAGCTCTTCATGTTTCCTCATCCCCTTCCCTTGTTTTCCAGAATCGGTCGAGGTGGACGGTTTGGCCGTAAGGGTGTGGCTATTAACATGGTGACAGAAGAAGACAAACGGACTCTTCGAGACATAGAGACCTTCTACAACACCTCCATTGAGGAAATGCCCCTCAATGTTGCTGACCTCATCTGAGGGGCTGTCCTGCCACCAAGCCCCAGCCTGAGTTCAGTCTTGGGGGGCTGAGGAGTTAGCAGGAGGGGGGAGGGAAGGGAGCCAAGGGATGGACATCTTGTCATTTTTTTTCTTTGAATAAATGTCACTTTTTGAGGCAAAAGAAGGAACCGTGAACATTTTAGACACCCTTTTCTTTGGGGTAGGCTCTTGCCCCAGGCGCCGGCTCTTCTCCCAAAAAACACTAATCCATTTCCCTAACCTAGTAACCTCCAGATCCCAGAGGCTCTCCTCACCTCAGCTGCGCTCCTTTGAAAGTGATTCAAGGGACTGTCACTCAGCCTCATTTGCTGGACCAAATCTGGAGGGAGAACCCTGAAAACCCCTCAGCAAGATTGCCCAGGGGATTGTCCCCAGGTGGGGGGAAGCAGGGGAGAGAAAATGGTAGCCATTTTTACATTGTTTTGTATAGTATTTATTGATTCAGGAAACAAACACAAAATTCTGAATAAAATGACTTGGAAACTGCCTGTTTGGGCTTCTCATTTCTTGCCTCCCCTACCCCCTTCCACCTGCTATTGGGTGCACCTCCGCTCCCCCCTTTGCCAGCAGGTAGTTAGTTACCTTTTGGCTGTGTTGCTTTCTTGCCACCATCTGAGAGTTCCCAGACGCTGAAGAGCAATGTTCTCAGCACTGAGAATGGTGACAGGAGTGCTATCCCTCTATAAAGGGCTGGGTGTGGACATCACAAGCCCCTCATGTGGCTCAGTCAAAAGGAAGTAGTAGATGGGCCAGCTACAAGGTCGAGGAGAAAGGGGAGTGGAAACACTTCCCCATGGAGGGACAGGCTGTTCCCTTAGACATCTGCCTCAACAACCAAGCAAGTTTTGCTGAGTTAGAGGAATGGGTCCCTGTAGGTCAACAGCCTCAGGGTTTTATACCCATGTGACACTGTTGACTTTGCCCTGATTGCTCCCACTTAAGTGGGGGCCTACAGTCCCCCTCAATTTCGAAAACTAATGACTAAGAGATGGGTGGCTGGAGCTGAGGTCCCTGAGTCAGGCTGTGGGTGGGATCATCTCCAGTACGGGAAGTGAGACTTCTCATTTCCTCCTTTCCAAGCGAGGGCTGAGCCAGTAGGGTTGAGCAACCGGTACTGACAGCCGAGCTGGACTCTGGGTGAGGCAGTTCAGCCATGAGGCTGGCTGTGCTTTTGTTGGGGGCCTTGCTGGGGCTACTGGCAGGTAAGGAGGAAGGCAGCTGAGGGGAGGGGGCCCCTGGGAGGGAGTTGGCCCCTGGGTTGCTAACTATCTCCTCTCTGCCAAAAGCCCAGGGGACAGGGAATGACTGTCCTCACAAAAAATCGGCCACTCTGCTGCCGTCCTTCACGGTGACACCCACGGCTACAGAAAGCACTGGAACAACGAGCCACAGGACTACGAAGAGCCACAAAACTACCACTCACAGGACAACCACCATAGGCACCACCAGCCATGGACCCACGACTGCCACTCACAACCCCACCACCACCCGCCACGGAAACGTCACAGTTCATCCGACAAGCAACAGCACTGCCACTCACAGTCCTGCCACCACCAGTCATGGAAATGCCACGGTTCATCCGAGCAACAGCACCACCACCAGCCCGGGATTCACCAGTTCTGCCCATCCAGGACCACCTCCGCCCTCTCCGAGTCCTAGCCCAGCCTCCAGGAAGACCACTGGAGACTACATGTGGACTAACGGCTCACAGCCCTGTGTCCACCTCCAAGCCCAGATTCAGATTCGAGTCAAGTACACAACCCAGGGTGGAGGAGAGGTAAAGTGAAAACGGCGACAAGAGGTGAGGGAGGCAGGGCTGGCTATGGGCTCAGAGGGAAGGAGGAAGGGGGATGGGACGTGACAGGGAACCTTGGGTGTCATTGCATGCAGTCTTATGACCTTCTGATCTTTAACTTCCGCAGGCCTGGGGCGTCTCTGTATTGAACCCCAATAAAACCAAAGCTGAGGGGAGCTGTGAGGATGCTCATCCCCACCTGCTTCTCTCATTCCCCTATGGACAGCTCAGCTTTGGATTCATGCAGGTATAGCCCATGACCTCATTCTCATCCCTCACTCAAGTCTCCCAGCACCCCACCCCTCCCAATCCCACGCCCTCCTCCTTCCTCTGTGGAGATGGATGCCACTTGGCCCTGCTGCCCTGAGCCTTCCTGTTCACCCCACAGGACCTCCAGCAGAGGGCTGTCTACCTGAGCTATATGGCAATGGAGTACAATGTGACCTTCCCCCAGGCAGCACGTGAGTAACCTCCTTCCCTTTCTCATTGCTACCACTAGACGCCAGGGTTCCTGAAAGGACTAAGGGGTCCGGGAGGTAGATAGGATCTGACCCCTCCTCACTCCTGCAGAGTGGACGTTCTCGGCTCAGAATGCATCCCTTCGAGATCTCCAAGCACCTCTGGGCCAGAGCTTCAGTTGCGGAAACTCGAGCATCATTCTTTCACCAGCTGTTCACCTCGACCTGCTCTCCCTGAGGGTCCAGGCTGCTCAGCTGCCCCATACAGGGGTCTTTGGGCCAAGTAAGACCCATGACCTACTCCTTTCCTCCTAGAATCCTCCCACAGGCCCATAAGCCACTTGTCTCTCTTCCTTATCTCCCCCCCAAATCACCTCGCTGTCCCTGGCTTGCCAGGTCTATAGGGCAGCTGTCCTCCCATCCTCTGCAAGACTCTGCCAGTTTCCCCCATTATCACTGCTCTGAGTCACCGCAGTGAGGTCCTCACCAATCTCTTACTCCCCAGCATCCCCCCATGCCCTCCTCCCACCTTGATGTCAACCACCACATCACTGCAGTGCCTACCTGCCCTATCCTTCCACCAGGTTTCTCCTGCCCCAGTGATGGGTCCATCTTGCTGCCTCTCATCATCGGCCTGATCTTTCTTGGCCTCCTCGCCCTGGTGCTTATTGCCTTCTGCATCTCCCGGAGACGCCCATCTGCCTACCAGCCCCTCTGAGCATTTGCTCCAAACCCCAGGGTACTAGGGGGACTGGGATGAGATGTGGTGGGGTACCCTCATTTCCTTGACATGCAACTGGCTGGAAGACAAAGTTATTTTCCTTCCCTGTCTTTCTTGAAGAACAAAAATAAGAGTTGGGTACAATAGCTCACACCTATAATCCCAGCACTTTTGGAAGCTGAGGCATGCAAGTCACTTGAGGAGTTTGAGACCAGCCTGGCCAATATGGTGAAACCCCGTCTCTACTAAAATACAAAAAAACTAGCCAGGCATGGTGGTGCACACCTGTAGTCCCAGCTACAATGGAGGATGAGGCAGGTGAATTGCTTGAACCCAGGAGGCAGAGGTTGCAGTGAGCCAAGATCGTGCCACCGCACTCCAGCCTGGCGACAGAGTGAGACTCCGTCTCAAAAGGAGAGGGGGGGGGGGGAAGGACCAAAAATAGAGACAAATTGAGTCGGGAGGGAGGAGGGAGTGAATTTTGGTAAGCGTGACAAACTGCCCCCACAGCAGACCAGCAAAACTTACGCAAATCTTTGACTTGGGTTTTCCTTGTCCAGCCAGGATTAAAAAGCCATGAGTTTCTTGTCACATGCCTTTCTGTGCCTTCCTTGGTTGGGTCTCAGGGAGTTGGAACCAGCTGCTGAGGGATGCAAATCTCATGGGTTCATCCCCCAAAGCCTGCACAGCTGGTGTTGGGTCTGCCGTGCCTCCCTTCCTTCCTCCTCTTGGGGCAACTGGCTGCTCTCGCTCCCCATCCCTGGCAAGCCGGTAGAGCCACCCATCCTCGCAGCCTTTTCCTGACCCTCGTACGGTTTCAAATGCAGCAGACAGCCAAAACGATGCGGGGGAGGCTGTGTCATTTCATTTCCAAAGGCAGGGCCAATGGCTCCAGGGCAATGAGAATATCCTATCCTATCCACTGGGGTCAGGGCCGGCAGAAAAGCCCGATTAAACCCTCGCTCCACCTGGGATGCTCCTAGCCCACCTGCAAGGGGTTGAATCAAGGAGCAGCAGTGGGTATTCTGACCTCCACTGGGGGCTCCTGGAAACAGCATGTCCCCTACACAGGGCCACGCGCCAAGCCTAACTTCACGACCCCAGTACTTGAGGAGGAATGTCACTCTCGGGACAGCCAAGGTCCAGATTCTAGAAAGGGGCTCCCAGATGGCCACAGCCTACACCACCAGTAAGTGCCAGTCCCACCCGTTACAGTAGGCTGTGGCACAATCGCTGAGCAGCAACCCCAGCCGTAGGAGTCCCAGGCGGCTACCAGCCTCCAAGACCCAGAGACTGCCCCACAAGGGCAGCCCTCACCTGGCAGGGCCCCGGCAGTCCCACCTCTGCTTGCAGACATCCCATGTGACCTTGCATTCTGTGGCGCAGGGGCCACCAAAGGGCTGCTCCACGGCGGGATGGCGCACAGCTGGGCGCCATGGGTTGGCGTCCCGGCGCTGGGTAACGAAGCACAGTGCTCCCACCAGGCAGTCCAAGGTGCCCTTTCCCAAGCAGAACTGTAGGGCCCATTCGGCCTGGCGGAAGTCTCTGCCCAGCACGTGGAGCGCCCTGCGGCGAAGGGGAGAACCCAAGGGCTGCCACACCAGGCCTCGGCTTCCCAGAGACAGCCAGCTCTGCGACCCAGGGGGTGATTCAGGGGCTGGCCTTCCCCACCTCTGCTTCACCGTTGCAGGCCGGGCAGTTGCCGGCTCACCCACGCCCCGAGGCCTGGGCCAATCGGAGGCGAGACACGCACGGGGCCCTGCGTGCAACCCGGCGCCTAAGGAGGCCTGCCAGGTGCAGGCGCTTCTGCTCCCGCCGGCGCCCCTCCCTCTAGAAACGCCGAGAAAACGGGAGTTACTAGCGCCCCCACCCAACGCCGCCTCGGGGACTCGGGCTCCTTCACTCTCAACCTCGCACAATACAAAGTGTGTTAGAAGAAGACAAGATGGCGCCCAGCAGGAGGAGCGGAGAAAGGCAGGGGTGTAAATCTGGCTTCCAAACTGGAAGCGACAACAAAGACGTGGGAGGTTTCACTGCGCAGGCGTGCAGCTCCGGCAAGCTTTAGAATTCCACCGGGGGGCGCGTCCAAAACGTGGTCCCCGACTGAGACTTATTTTACGCCACTAGAGCAGTGATGGGTAGCGTCAGAAAAAGCAGGGAGCTGCGGGCGGGCCAGCTTCGCCGCGGGAAAAGAGCGAGGCGGAGTGTCCGCGGCGCGCAGGCGCAACGAAAGTCAATGGCGGTCTGGAAAGACTGGCGGAAGCCAGCTTTGCAATATGGCGGCTGAGGCAGACGGAGCGCTTAAACGGCTGCTCGTGCCGATTCTTTTACCTGAGAAATGCTACGACCAACTTTTCGTTCAGTGGGACTTGCTTCACGGTGAGTTTTATTCAGCATCCGACCCAAGTCCTGCTCGAGCGACCGTGGATCCTTCTTAGTCCAAGGCTTGACCGGCGACTGATGGCAATTACTGCCGCCACGCCGAGCTGGGCGGAAGTCACTTCTGAGAGGGGCGGAAGTGTCTCGGGCTCCTTAGAGGGAGGTCGCCATAGTTGTGCCAGTGGGGAGGTCGCCGGGTGGAATTACGTTCTTTGTAGAGTTTGTGATTTAGCGACAATGAAAGACGAAAAGACTCAACTTCTATAAAACAAAATAAAAATCAAGTCAGGGCCGGTCGTGGTGGCTCACGCCTGTAATCCAGGCACTTTGGAGGCCAAGGCGGGCGGATCACCTGAGGTCGGGAGTTCAAGACCAGCCTGACCAACATGGTGAAACCCCGTCTTTAATTAAAAAAAAAAAGTCAAATCGTGCCAGCCTTTATTAGATCGCTAGCAGAATTAAAAAGCCCAGATGAATCGGGTCTTCATTGCACCCCCAAAGCCTCCACCACCCTGGTTGCTTTCTTTCCAGCCTCCTCATAGCCTGATTTCGGAATAATTTGCCTTCCTTCCTTTGTATTTATTATTTTTTTTGGAGACAAGAGTCTCACTCTTGCCCCGGCTGTAGTGCAGTGGCACGATCTAGGCCCACCACAACCTCCTCCTCCTGGGTTCAGGCGATTCTCTTGCCTCAGCCTCCTCAGTGGCTGGGATTACAGGCATGCGCCACCATGCCCCGCTAATTTCGTATTTTTAAGAGACACGGGGTTTCTCCATGTTGGTCAGGGTTGTCTCGAACTCCCAACCTCAGTTGACTGCCCGCCTCCGTCCTCCCAAAGTGCTGGGATTACAGGGGTGAGCCACCGCGCCCGGCCTGTCCTTCCTTATTCTGATTGTGAGACAGCTTCGCAAGAAGGCCCACCGTCAGGCTATTTGGGAAGCGTCAGTATGCCCCTGTCAGTTCATACTACCTGTCTTAAGTTCGTGGGGCACTTTGTTTTAGCCGCGTTTATGACCCGTGAGAGGCTGACTCCCGCTGACTCCTTAAGGGGCAGGCTTCAAGGCTAGAGAAGTTATGGATGGCCAGGGCATAAAAACTAGCCCTAGAAGGGTAAGGTTTAGTCCCTGAGTAGGGGCCAGGGACAGAGTATTCAAGAAAAAGTCGTATGGGCCAGGTGGGGTGGCTCATGCCTGTAATCCCAGCACTTTGGGAGCTGGAGGCGGGTTGATCACCTAAGGTCAGGAGTACCAGACCAGCCTGGCCAACATGGTGAAACCCTGTCTCTACTAAAAATACAAAACATTAGCTGGGCATGGTAGCGGGCACCTGTAATCCCCGCTACGCAGGAGGGCTGAGGCAGGAGAATCACTTGAAACCAGGAGCGGAGGTTGCAGTGAGTGGAGATCGCCACACCACTGCACTCCAGCCTGGGCAACAGACTGAGACTTTGTATCCAAATTAAAAAAAAAAGAGCCCTCCCTCTCTCCTGCCCTCGATCACTCCTTCACCCTCACAAAAAATTAAAAAATTAAAAATAAATGGCCGGGCTCGGTGGCTCAAGCCTGTAATCCCAGCACTTTGGGAGGCCGAGGCGGGTGGATCACAAGGTCGAGAGATCGAGACCATCCTGGTCAACATGGTGAAACCCCGTCTCTACTAAAAATACAAAAAAATTAGCTGGGCATGGTGGCACGTGCCTGTAATCCCAGCTACTCAGGAGGCTGAGGCAGGAGAACTGCCTGAACCCAGGAGGCGGAGGTTGCAGTGAGCCGAGATTGCGCCATTGCACTCCAGCCTGGGTAACAAGAGCGAAACTCCGTCTCAAAAAAAAAAAAAAAAAAAAAAAAAATTAAAAATAAATGATAGGAGGCCGGGCGCGGTGGCTCAAGCCTGTAATCCCAGCACTTTGGGAGGCCGAGGTGGGTGGATCATGAGGTCAAGAGATCGAGACTATCCTGGTCAACATGGTGAAACCCCGTCTCTACTAAAAATACAAAAAAGTAGCTGGGCATGGTGGCACATGCCTGTAATCCCAGCTACTCAGGAGGCTGAGGCAGGAGAATTGCCTGAACCCAGGAGGCAGAGGTTGCGGTGAGCCGAGATCGCGCCATTGCACTCCAGACTGGGTAACAAGAGCGAAACTCCATCTCAAAAAAAAAATAAATAAATAAATGATACGAAGACCTGTCTTTGGAGAAAGACGACATGTGAAATAAATGGGCCACCCATTGGCCCAGAGAAAATTCTTGGACATTTCTCAGCTTTTTTTTTTTTTTTTTTTTTGAGACAGAGTCACTCCATCACCAGGCACCAGGCTGGAGTGCAGTGGCATGACCTTGGCTCACTGCAACTGCTGCCTCCCGGGTTCAAGCAATTCTCCTGCCTCAGCCCCCCGAGTAGCTGGGATTACAGGGGCACGCCACCGCACCCAGCTAATTTTTTTGTATTTTTTTTTTTTTTTAGTAGAGATGGGGTTTCACCATGTTGGCCAGGATGGTCTCGATCTGTTGACCTCATGATCTGCCCGCCTTGGCCTCCCAAAGTGCTGGGATTACAGGCATGAGCCACCGCACCCGGCCTTTTTTTTTTCTGAGGTGGAGTTTCACTCTTGTTGTCCAGGCTGGAGTGCAATGACACAATCTCGGCCCACCGCAACCTCTCCCAGGTTCAAGGGATTCTCCTGCTTCAACTTCTCTTATGAGCAGCTGGGATTACAGGCGTGTGTCACCACACCTGGCTAATATTTGTATTTTTAGTAGAGACGGGGTTTCATCATGTTGGCCAGGCTGGTCTTGAACTCCTGACCTCAGGTGATCCACCCACCTCAGCCTCCCAAAGTGCTGGGATTACAGGTGTGAGCCACCACACCCAGCCTGTTTCTCACTTTTATACAGGGAAGCAATGGAGATTGTGAAGATCAAGCCAAGTCTGGACGTTAATTTATAGGGAATGTAAGATTGGATGTGGGGTGGGTAGGCACTGGAGAAAAGCTGTTTTGGAAAGTAATAGTCTGGGATCAGGCACAGTGGCTCGAGCCTGTAATTCCAGCACCTTGGGAGGCGGAGACAAGAGAATTGCTTGAACCCGAGAGGCAGAGGCTGCAGTGGGCTGAGATTGGGCCACTACACTCCAGCCTGGGGTACAGAGCAAGATGTCTCAAAAAAAAAAAAAAAAAAAGAGGTGGTTTGGAGCAAGAAGGACTAGACCTTTTTCCCTGCCCTTCGCCCCTCTTTCCCCAAGACAATGTAAGACCGAGGTGTGGGTAAGGGGGTCGGGGAGAGCCCACGGGAGTACTTCAAGCCTTCCTCTCGGTTTCACACATCTGCTGTCTGCTTACCCTTTCTTCTCTTCTCAGTTCCCTGCCTCAAGATTCTCCTCAGCAAAGGCCTGGGGCTGGGCATTGTGGCTGGGTCACTTCTAGGTATGTATCTTATTCCTGCTGTTTGGTTGGGGGCGGAGGTGCTAAGAGGCCATCTACTGTGTGGGTGTTGGTTCTGTAGCTGTTGTGTTGCATCCCAAAGAACAGAGCCTCCTCAGTCCTACTCTTCTCATCTTTTCCCCTAGTAAAGCTGCCGCAGGTGTTTAAAATCCTGGGAGCCAAGAGTGCTGAAGGTTTGAGCCTGCAGTCTGTAATGCTTGAGCTAGTGGCATTGACTGGGACCATGGTTTACAGCATCACTAACAACTTCCCATTCAGGTGAGGGGCCACCCATCCTCCCCGAGGGTAATACCCCAACTCTAATGGGGATTCAGGTGAAGGAGGTTACAGGGCAGGAAAGTGGCTGGGTGAGGTGGCTCACGCGTGTAATCCCAGCACTTTGGGGGCCAAGGTGGGTGGATCACCTGGGGTCGAGTTCGAAACCAGCCTGGCCAACATGGTGAAACCCCGTCTCTACTAAAAAAATATATATATATACAAAAATTAGCTGGGCATGGTAGTGCACGCCTGTAGTCCCAGCTACTCAGGAGGCTGAGGCAGGAGAATCACTTGAACCTGGGAGGCGGAGGTTGCAGTGAGCTGAGATCATGCCACTGCACTCCAGCCTGGGCAACAAGAATAAAACTTAAAAAAAAAAAAAAAAAAAATGCAGGGGGGCAAGGAAGTTTTAAGCCCTTTTAGAAACAGAATTATCACCAGTGGAGGTGACCTTGAGAAGGGGTGATCATCCCAAGAATGGCCAAGATTCAGAATGAGTCACTCACATGTGGGGACTGTAGAGAAGCCTGAACAGAGCATCGTGTCCCTGGATGGGCTATGGAGGCTTTCCCTGCCTCTTTCTAGGCCCCCATTTCTTCCTCCCAACTCTTGACTCTGCAGCTCTTGGGGTGAAGCCTTATTCCTGATGCTCCAGACGATCACCATCTGCTTCCTGGTCATGCACTACAGAGGACAGACTGTGAAAGGTGCTGGGGACTTACCAAGAGCAGGCTGCATGGTTCCTGGGCACTCTCGGACCTGGGAAAGCCCGATGATGTTGAGATTGACAAGGACTCCTGTCTCCCCACTCCTAGGTGTCGCTTTCCTGGCTTGCTACGGCCTGGTCTTGCTGGTGCTTCTCTCACCTCTGACGCCCTTGACTGTAGTCACCCTGCTCCAGGCCTCCAATGTGCCTGCTGTGGTGGTGGGAAGGGTGGGTATGAGGAGCAAGGGACAAGATGTGGGGTGGGTGGAGGGGGAGGGTCAAGGGGCGGACTGGAAGGTCAAAGTGTGGGGTGTTGGACTTGGAGCGGGGAAATTAGCGATGGCAGTGTGGGAAGGGCTCAGATGACAGAGCCAAAGGTCTCAACTCCTCCCCTAGCTTCTCCAGGCAGCCACCAACTACCACAATGGGCACACAGGCCAGCTCTCAGCCATCACAGTCTTCCTATTGTTTGGGGGCTCCCTGGCCCGAATCTTCACTTCCATTCAGGTGAGTGCAACATTATCTTTCTAGAAGGCACTAAAACCTTATCATCTTACATCTCCCAACTAAGGGAGAAAGCTGCCCCTGTCAGGAACCTTTGTCCATAAGGGAAACTTTTTTGAGTTATGCTGAAGGGTAACCCTGGCTCTGTCTCTTACGACCAGGAAACTGGAGACCCCCTGATGGCTGGAACCTTTGTGGTCTCCTCCCTCTGCAATGGCCTCATCGCTGCGCAGCTTCTCTTCTACTGGAATGCAAAGCCTCCCCACAAGCAGAAAAAGGCGCAGTAGAGCCAGCTGCTAGTCATTCCATTTCCACTCATTTACCCAACCTCAGGGTTCTCCCCATCTGAGCCAGCCTGCTGGTGTGACTTACTCATCCGCCATTCCTCTGCAGTGGCAGACTTCCTGAGCCAGGGTTTGCTTTTAGTGGCAACAAATGGTTGATGGATCTAGATCCTTAGAAAAGGAGAGAATGGGAGTAGCATCTTCCAAGCCAAAATTTTGACATTTGAGAGCTTTTCTAAGCCCTGTACATGTCCTATGAATCATTCAGCCAAGCCTCTTCCTCTAGCAGCAATTTCTGGCTGGTTAACCCTCTCCCTGGGCAAATGTTTTACCCTGGCCTCGAACCTCCCTACTTCCCTTCTGGCCCTACAAGAGAGCCTGGACAGCAGAGTGGAGGGAAGTGGGGGGCTGTGGCTGCTTCCCTCCCTCCCTCAGCCCGGCTGGGACTGCCTCCGAGACCCCAGTGCTGGGGGTGGGGGAAGGTGGACAGAGAATGACTCAGGCAGGGCCCCAGGGTGGGGTGAGGAGGTTCCTGCTCTGGCAGGTCTAGGCGGAAGGGAGTGGAGATGGGGCTGGTTCCTACTGCAGTGAGGGGAACACATGGGACAATAAAGACTGGAGACGCAGTTGAATAATACAAAACTGTGTTTAATACTACCAAAAATACAACTGTGTGCTGCTCTCCCTGGCTTCCATGGGAGGACTGCAGGCAGCCCCTGAACTGTAGTCCAATACAGGAAAGGGTCGGCCGCCTGGGGTAGGGAATGCTGCTGGTTTAAAAAAAGGAAGAGGAGGCTGATCTGGTGAGGGCTGCATCCATGAGGGTTAGAGGTGGGTTAGGGGCATGGGGGTACCAGAAAGGGGAGGGTTGTATGGAGTGGGAGAGCCTGGGGGCAGATAGGGGACATAGGGGGGCAGCAGCTCCCCCTGGAGCCTAGGGTCACTCTGAGGGAGGGAGCACGGTGAGGGGGCCTCCAGTTTGCAGTGGGAAGAGCTGCAGAGAGAAACAAGAAGTTAGAGGGCACTTCCTGGATTGGAGGTGAGTCTGACCAGTTCTGTGCAGACAGGGTAGAGCTCGACACCCACCCAGCCCTGACTATGCAGCCCGCTCGGCGCAGCAGGCCCGGAAGCCGACCCGGCGATGGAGAGCCCGCGGCCCTGTTGGGACACGCTCGGGAGCAGGCTTGCGTGCTGCAGGGCCTTTTCCTCTTGGGGCGTCAGGCCAGGATGGGGCAGAATGGGCTTGGCCTCTCCTTACCCCGAGGGCTGGGAGAGGAAGTCGGGTCACGCACAGGCCAGCAGCAGGGGGGAAATGGGGCATCTAACTCGGACACAATTGCATCCAGGGGTCTGTCACCTGACCCTGCAGGGCTGCCACCTCCAGACTGAGGGAAACGCCCTCTGGGAGAACCCTGGCCCGCCCCACCCTATACTGGCCTCGGAGGTACTGGGGTCCGTGCACCCCACACCTTAGCCCGGAGTGGCCTCTGCTTGGGTGGGCTCCCGTCCTCCAGCATCCGCCCCCACCCAGGCTCCAGGACAGGGGCGCAAGGGCCTCCGACTTCAGCCCGCTTCCCAGGCACTCACCCATAGCTGCCAGGCAAGTAGGCTGTTGAGTAGTTGGGGGGTTTGTACCCAAAACCTCTGCTGGGTTGGGTGGTCGCGTACCCTGGCCCCCAGAGTGGGCCGCCGCTGGCCAGGCTGCCTCTTCCCTGTCCGCAGCGGGAAGGTCCGGCGCCCGCGCTCTTGGCCTTGCGCCGAGGCCGGTACTTGTAGTCGGGGTAGTCGCGCAGGTGCCGGGCGCGGAGCCGCTTGGCCTCCTCCACGAAGGGCCGCTTCTCGTCCTCGCCCAGCAACTTCCACTGCGCGCCCAGGCGCTTGGAGATCTCGGAGTTGTGCATCTTTGGGTTCTGCTGCGCCATCTGGCGGCGCTGAGCGGAGCTCCATACCATGAACGCGTTCATCGGCCGCTTCACCTTCTCCAGGGGTAGCACCCCAGGGACTGCGGGGCTCCCAGCACCCTCCCGCTCCTGGGGTCCCGAAGACGAGGAGGCAGCAGCCGTGGGAGCCGGAGGCTCCAGGCTCCAGGCCTGGTCCTGTGAGGAGCCCGGGAGCGCCATGGGTCGGGAGAAGCCTTAAGAGGGCGTCCTGAATGCCCTCCCCTCAACGTGAAGCGTCGATCCTGAAAATGGAAGGGTCTTCCCAGTCTGGAGTCGTTGCCGAGGAACTTGGGTTTCTAAAAAGTATATTTCATCCCTAAAGTCCAGCGTTTAAACTGGAGCCTTTGCTTCCAACCAGTTCGGCACACTTTTAGGAGAGCTGAATGCCAAATCCGCTGTCTGGTGTCCCCGCACTGAAGTGGTGCTGCCCTGAGGCCTCCTGACTGGGGGGACCCCCGGTTCCTCTCCCCGGCCCGCAGCTGTGACCAGACCGACCTTCCGTGGAGGGGGTAAACCATAAAGCGCTTTGTGGTCTCCGGAGTTGCCGCAGCTGCCAAGCGCAGATGCCACAGACCTCTCCCACCTGGGCTCAGCTTTTGCGGCAGGCGGGCCAGACCTGGGAACAGCTTTTAAAGACTGACTCCGCCCCAGCCCCGCCCGGAAGACTGCCCTCCTTAAGGGCGCCAACATCCGCCGCCTGTAGATAAACCCAGGTGTCCTGTTTGTTCCAGCCCCCCACCCCTCAGGGTGCCACGCCCCCCACGCCCAAGACCTGCTGTCAGGCCTCCCAGCCCCTGGCTGTAATTGCCTCCCCTCCCTGAAGCAGTGGTAATTTAGAGCCAATTCTTTCCACAATGGGATCAAGCACAGGGGGATCAGGTGCCCTCAGGGCCGAGTTGTGCTGAGAGGAGCTTGGGAGCATCACCCCCCCCACCACCACCACCCCAATCTCTTTCCTTGTGCCTATTGCTCTTCAAATTCCAGACCTGCCCCTGGGGCAAGAAAGGCTGAGGAGGGAGACGATTTTTGTTTCCTGAGTCATTCCAGCAGGTGCTTGGGCGGTGATTCAACCCCCTTCCCAAGTGAGAAAACTTAAGCCCTCCCAACCCCAATCCCTAAACCTAGATTTCTCCACTGCCATTGAATTATGGCAAGTTTTATCTTCAGTCTTCGAAGTCATGAAGGGGCAGCCAGGAAACCCAGGACAACTCCCCCACGTTGAGAGGTCTGTTTTGTGCCTGCTGAAGAAAAAGCTTAGAGCCAGATCAGAACACCAGCAAGGAAAGAAGGCTGGACACCAGGCTTTCAGAGGCTGCCATGAGGGAACCCTGCTCCCCACTCTGCCAAGGCCCAGCCCAAGCCCCAGGCTTCAGGTAATCGGATTAAGCAGCCTGCCTTGGCTCCCGGCTTCTAGCAGGAACAGCTCCAGCTCTGAGCAGCCCTGCCTAGCCTGTGCCATGACTCAGGGTATAGGAGTGGCCCAACTCCCTCTACCAGCAAACTTGGGGGAGGGGAGAAGCAATAAGGCACAAGACCCCCTCCTCTGGACCAGGAGCGAGTACCTGGACCTGGGGAGTTTAGGAATGTCAGAAATTCCCAGAAGTAAGACCATCTTTGGGACAAGAGACAATGAGAAGTCAGGTGTGGAGGAACAGAAAACAAGAGCCAGGGGCCAGGGCAGGTCAGTCCTAAAGAAACAGAGGGACCAAACTGGGGACAAAGGCGGCACAGGAGCCACAGAGCCATTTGGATTTTTTTTATTCTCTTTTTAAATACTGTACAGTGAAAAATAAATACGCCTTCTCATCCACCAGACAAGGTTGGTCCCCTCCCCCTGGGGACCTTGTCACCCCCCTTCATACACACCCCTGGTTCTACTCCAAAACCTTCCCCGTGCCTCCCACCCACTTATCTCTTACTATCCCCGTCTTCCACAGTGATGAGGCCCCAGAAATGGGGGGTACAGGATGGGAGGAGGGATAGCAGGGGAGGCCCCCTGAACGGTCAAATCTGGGTGGGTCAAGGAGCACCCCCCACCAACAGGTGGAGAATGGGGGTGTTCAGAGAGAGATTGGGGCATTAGAGGATAAAGGCACATCCAGTCTGATGGGGGAGAGAGGCTCCCCTTACCCTGGGGGTAGGGTGGACAAGAGGGAGGGGGTATGACCCTGTTACACACCCCTCCACTAGCTCCTGGAGGTTGGGGGGTACCCAAGCTGCTGTGCCACCCCCCTCCCCCCTAGATAAGAGCAGCTCCAGCGCAGGTCAGTTGGGCCTGTGAGGGCCATGGTGTTGGGCAGCAAGCGAGATGGAGAAGGGAGGGATGCAGGCTGGAGGTTTTATGAAACCCCATTCACCATACTACCCAACTCCAAGGGGGCAGAGAGCTCCCCATTCTCCGAGGGGCCCTTAGGATGCTTGCTGACAGAGTCACCCTGAGGGGCAAGTGGGAAAGAAAACAGAAAATCAAGCACATGGTGAGCAGAAACTCAGGTGGGTGACATTTCCTACCATCCAAGCACTCCTGGCATGTGGTGATCCAGAGATTGGCTCCTTGATCCCATGATCCATTCTCTCTTACTTGGGATCCAGAAAATGTGAACTACACATTCCTCTCTATCGCATTCAAAGTTGACACTATTCTAAACTCCATCAGACACAACTGCCTCTGCAATTCAATAACAGATTTCTTTCTTCTTTTGAGACGGAATTTTGCTCTTGTTGCCCAGGCTGGAGTGCAATGGCATAATCTCAGCTCACAGCAACTACCGCCTCCCCGGTTCAAGCCATTTTCCTGCCTCATCCTCCCGAGTAGCTGGGATTACAGGCATGCACCACCACACCCAGCTAATTTTGTATTTTTTAGTAGAGATGGGGTTTCTCCATGTTGGTCAGGCTGGTCTTGAACTCCCGCCCTCAGGTGATCCACCCACCTCAGCCTCCCAAAGTGCTGGGATTACAGGCATGAGCCACCGCCCCCAGCCTCGGTAAGAGATTTCTTTGTGAAATTTTGTGTGCCCCCTGCCCCATAATAACGAAGGATAGGGTAAACCACATCTTGCCTGCCTACCTTCTGTCCTGAAAGAGAGTCCTCTGAGGGTTTAGTGCGTTCCAGTGGTGGCCGCTGGCGGCTCTGAGACTCTGCTCGTGAGATATAGTCAGCCACAGTCACTGGGGAAGGCAGGACATTAAGACTTTGAGATGGTTTTCGATGAAAATTACAAAAGAAAAAAAAAAAAAAGACTTTGAGATGGAATTCTGGTAGCCAGCCCAAGATACCCACTGAACCCGAACCCCTCATTTTCACAGGGTAGGAAGTATCCCATTCTCTCAGCTCTGAGGAAGGATTTTGGTGTCCAAAGTTGGCTGACCTGGTTGGCGGTCTCCACTGATAGAACCATCAGTCCGATTACCACGGTTACGGCGGCGGCGACTGCGGTTACGACGTTGGGGTCTTGATTCATCTTCTGTAGGGTAGGGAAAAACCAGAGTCACACATCCAACCTCCCACCCTTGATTCTTACCCATCTCTAATATTCCAGACCCCAGGCACACCCTCACCCAGGCCATTCTCTGTCATGTTGGGCCCATCTGATTCCAGGCCTCCATCTATGACGGTCCTGTCTTCATCAGTGCGGCGGCGGCGGGAGCGGCGGCGCCTGGCACTTGCTGGGGGGGGTTCTCCAGGCTCTGAATCAACCGGGGGCTCTGGTTCAGATGTGTCCAATAGGCTGTAGGGATTACTGTCTGGATCCTTCAGAACTGGTCAGATACAGAAGAGGAGTTGGCAGTCAGGTACCCATCATCTTTCCTTTTGGCCCATATTCATGAACACAGCTGTCTGGTACCTGAGCTAATAGATGAAGAATTATATCTTGAAGTGGGCCGGGGGGCAGGTGGGGGTCCCCTTCCACGTCCCCCAATCGGCCGCCTCCGGCTTTCTTCCCCTCGGGTTGGGGGATCCCTGTCGCCAGGCCCAGCTCGGTTGGGCTCCTCTCTCTTCTCTGACTCAGTCTCAGAAGCTGTAGACACATCTGAGCTGGGACCTGAAGAACACGGTGTTGTTTATTCAGGGTCGTTCATCCCACTCCAAGATCCATCACATTCCTCAAGCTGGAATAATTCTCCCTCTTACTCACAAGCCCCCCAGCCAATCACCTCTTCATCATCTCCATTACAGATTTCCCCAAACTTCCATCCAGACCTCTGCCCCTACCCACAAGCCCTGCCACTCCTTGCCTCCTGTTCCCATAGCTGTCTCACCATAGGCAGGACCGCCTGTCCTCCGGCCACGGCCCCGGCCCCCATAGCTGCCCCCGTAGGTTCGAGTCGCATGGAGGGAGGAGGAGGAGCTCTCATCAGTGCTATATCCAGCCTTGTCACTGCCACCGCTGCCCCGCCCACTCCCAGGAGGTCGAAAGCCCAGTCCAATCTGCCGAAGCTGCTCATCAATTTGCAGCCTTTCCAAGCGAAGCTGCTCTACCTCCTGGTTGGGTAGAAGATGTGGGAAGGAGAAATAAAATCAGTGCCTTTCTTCATGCTTCTCCACCCTAACTGTCCCTTCTATATCTAATCTCTCAGGAATATAAGGAGAAGGAAGATAACTGGCTAAACAAGGAAGCCCCAAATTTCCATAAATGTTTTCTGTTCTACACAGAGAAACAGGGCACCAAAACTCCTGAGTTTATCCCCACAGCAGTCTGAGTCCCCTTTCCACCCCCAGCGCTTTCCTCTCCTGGCCTGGGTACCTGCAGGTAGGAGAGGTGATACTCCAGCAGAGCCTGGGCATTGCTGATGTTCTCTCGGGTGCCAACAAAGATGAAGGGAACCATTCCCTGGAGAGCAGAGGGCAGAAACGATGGATCAGAAAGGAAAATGAAATGGAAGGATTGACCCTGCCCAGTCTCCAAGGGGAGCCTGCCCAGTGGAATCATTCTGGGCTCTAAATCTACTAGGGTTAAACAAGTTTCCTATTCCACCTCTCAAAGAACAATCCCTGCCCTCAGAGGACAATCCCATTTACTTCTGGAAACCAATTTCTATGCCCAGTTGTCCCGTACCCATACCTCCTCCCTGGGGTTCTTCTTGTCATTATCACCTTCCACTCGAACCCTCACCACACCAGATTTATCCACAATCTCCTGGATCACTTTCCCGTTCTTTCCAATCACTTTGCCTGGAATAGGTAAAGGAGGAATTAAACATTTTTTTTGTTGTTGTTGTTGAGGAAATAAGAATTAAGCTGATAAAACGTCTTCCAGCCTCATTTTCTTTCTCCATATGAGCTCCATTTACTTCATTCTCCTGCTTCTAGGTTTCTGATGTGCTTTTACAGGACAAAATATTACAATCCCTAGAAATCTATTCTTTGATTTTTATCAGTCCCATTGCAGACTGTTATTCTCTATCCTTGTGAAATTGGGAGTCCATAGGGAGGTGCCAATCCCTGGATACAAGCTCAGAATCACTGTAGAGAATCTTGATTCTGACCTCTAACTGTATATACACACCACCAACTCACCAACCAGGTTCCTGGGCACTTGCACTGAGTCCTCAGAAAACTCAAGGTAGCTTCGGGCCTGTCGGCAAGCCTCAGGAGTCTAAAGGAAGAACAGTGGGGAGTTGTTACTGCATCAGAAGACCACCTGGGAGCAGTGGCTCATTCCTGTAATCCCAGCACTTTGGGAGGCTCAGGCAGGTGGATGAGTTGAGGTCAGAAGTTCAAGACCAGTATGGGTGATATGGTGAAACCCCATCTCTACTAAAAATACAAAAATCAGCCAAGGGCTCACATCTGTAATCCCAGCTACTCAGGAGGCTGAGGCAGGA